GGAGGTCTTCCATACCAGAATAGATTGTAATTTCACTCTTTCCCCCACTTCTCATCTCTCTGTGGGACTTGTTCCCTCTTCAACTCAACGTAGATAGGCATTTTTATTGAGAATGTAAAGATCCCACCTTACCTTAAAAAAAGTAGCCGAGCCGAAGGATCGATGATAAGATCGTTTATTTTCAATGGGAAGGTATACAATGTCAACAAATTTCAATGAATACAATAAGATTTATGGCTACACAAACCGTTGAGAACGGTGCTAGATCTAGTCCAAGACGAACTACACTAGGGGATTCATCAAAACCGTTGAATTCGGGAGGTTTTTTTGCAATAGTCGAGGAGTTAGTTTAATAAGAACCTTGATAAAGAAGGTGTTTGAGACTTATAAAGGTATTCTTTTAAAACAACAGCTTAAATGATACTACCCAAAAAAAAAAGAACATTAATATATATTTAAGAAATGTATTTAAAAAAATAAAACTAAGAAAAAAAAAGTCATAGAATATACTTTTTCATCTACGAATATCATTTCGATGGAATACAAATCATAAGAAGAATTTGTCTTCGATTTAAGCATCCACAACTTTAATATTTTAACCTTGATGGTGAAATTAGCAAGAGATGGTCATGTTCTTTTATGAAAGTAATATTCGTAGTGGCCATTTTTCTGCAAAGAGTAGAAAAGTTGTAGTTTAGTATAGCAAAATAATCCAAACAAACATGCTAAGAGACATTTACTAGCTATTTTTTTTGTTTATATGTAGTACATTGCTATTTTATTAAACTTATTTTATCAAATTATAATAACATTTAGAGTCAAACTAAAAGTTAACTTGAAATAGCATTTTAGTAATTATGAAAAAGGTATTATGGTATTTATTCAGAAAATTGTACTTTCGAGGTACATTGCTGTATTATGGTTATATTGCAATATTTAAGGATTAAAAGTCGGTGAACATAGAATATAATTTCAATGACTTTTTATCCTTTCTACTCTAAAATAGCAACGTACTTTCTACACAACACAAAAAAATATATAATTTCTAATTTGTTAGTATAAAATAAAATTAAGTTGCTATTTTATCGTATTTTAAAAAAATACAAGCATTTTATTACATTCATGATGATTAAAGCATTGTACTTTAAAAACACATTTTCTGAATAAATACCATTATACTCTTTTCATAATTAACAATGTTATTTCAGGTTAACTTTTGTTTTGGCTTTAAATTTCATTACAACTTGATACAATAAGTTTAATAAAATAACAATGTACTACAATAAACAAAGAATGACTGGTAAATGCCTCTTAGAATGTTTGTTTTGACTATTTTGCTTTACTAAACTACAACAACTTTTCTACTCCTTACAGAAAAAAGGCTGCTACGAATATTACTTTCATAAAAGAACTTGAACCTCTCATTGTTAATTTCACCATCAATGTTAAAATATTAAAGTTGTGGACGCTTAAATCGAAGACAAACTCAACAAAGGATTAACTTCATAAGGTAAACAAATTTAAAAGAAAACATTTATAAGTTTCATGACCTTTTTCATGAAGGTTCTGCTTTTGAAATTAACTCCTCAACTATTGCAAAACAACCTCCAAGTTTTGCCTTGTCTGATCTTCAACAAGGGATCAACTTCATAAGGTAAACAAAAGTTGCAAATTGTCTTAACTTTCTGGTTGATATTTATAGATTCTCTTTTGTCGATTTTCAATCGATTAACTCCGAACTTATCCCAACGAAAAGACCTTTTGGTATGTTAACAATTATATTATTATTTCATGTTTTTATAGATGTTATTGGCTTTGTTGTCACACTAGTGCTATTATTATTGATAATAACAAAGACAAGCACATTTATTAATTGTTGTCACACTAGTGCTATTATTATTGTCGGTACTATAACAGAATATGCGAAAACAAAATTGGTATTACTCAAGTTGTCCGAATTGTCACTCCAAAGGTAATGAAAGAGCATACAGATGTTTCCACTGCACCTGAAGAAGTAACACATTTATTAATGTTCCAATTTTAAATGCAAGAAACCACTAAATTTGTTGTACCAAGTTTTTTTTTTTTTTTTTTTTTTTTTTTTTTTTTTTTTTTTTACATTTTACCTTACACATTCCTTTTTCCATGTTACTTAACGTTTATTTATTTTAACTTATTTTTTTTTTCGGATTTATGATTCAGTGTATGTACACGATGAGTCTGAAGCTATTGTCTTAGCTATGTTTGAGAGGGAAGCTATGGGGCTCTTGCAGATATCAGCGAAAAAGTTTGTAGACAAACACACTCAAGTATATTTAGTTAAATGTTTTTTTATGTAAAATAGCATAAAAACACAACCTACTTCGAAAGCACATTGCTATAATCTACAGGAAGGGCAAAACAAAAAGTATACAAAACTTATAAAAATGATTTGACAAATTGCTTTTCTTTTTGAACAAAAATGTAAATTATAAACCTATTTATTTTTGGAGTTTATAAAAAATATTATTAGTTACCTTTTTATTCTTTCTACATTACAATAGCAATGTACTTTCCAAATACATTGCTATAATTTGCAGAAAGGATTACTGACTTATAATCTGTTTGTTTTAAAGAGGTGGCCCTACTCTCTCTCTCTCTCTCTCTCTCTCTCTCTCTCTCTCATGGACACAAAATAGTAGAAACACTACAGCAAAATCAACATATTCATCTTTTCCACTCATCCCTCCAAAAACCTTAAAACCCAAAAAGAAATAAGGCATCAGAAGTCTAAAATCAGTTTCCCTTTGATCATGCTCTTCTAATAATCAATAGCAAGTTAAGAGTAGTGGAGTTCATACTTGTATATAAGGCAAATATGTTCACAAACATGATGAAAGGCAGCGGTCAAGGAAGGTTGCCCCTTGTGGTCGAAGGTACACAATTTTGAACCTGAAATATAGTGGAAAACATTAATAATAACACAAGAAAAAGGAAAGATAGGCAGTTTTGGTCAGCGATCATTTAATGTTATTGGAATTAACACAAGTGTCAATGAGGATATAAAATATGATCTAATACAAGTTAGGAGTGTTAATTTCACACCCATATAGAAGGCGAGTATGATTTCGAACACGACAGAATGTAGGGACAAGGGGTAATGCCCGATAACCTGTACAAAAAAGTGGACCAAGAATGTGAATTAGGAAATGATTGGTAGAATTAGAGCACAAACAAAACTACTTCATCCAATGTAAAAAAGGAAGCAGAATGTATTACAAGTTTACTCTTTCTTGATGATATAAATGGTTAGTTTTAAAAGAATGTTGTCAATATATTACAAGTTTACTCTTTCTTGATGATATAGATGGTTAGTTTTAAATTTGGGTTAGACATGAAAATTGACTCTCAATTGTAATAGGAACTTTCTAAAACAATTCTAGATAAACTTAATAAAATTGACTCTCAATTGTTTGGTAAGATCAACCGGTTGGCTCATAATATGTTTATGTTACTCAAACTTCTATATAAACTCAAACCAGTCCACTAATGGACTTTGTGTTGCTTTAAACTCAGTTGAAACGTTTGAATAAACTCAAACCTTTATATACCAAGTAATAAAACAAGATTAATATATGCAACTTAAAGTTGGGATTTATTCTTTACTTATTAAAGATGTGGTCCTAAAGATAAAGAATAAGGAAAGATTATGCTTTTGTATGTTTCAAATGTGTTTATTCCTTACGCATTAAACTAAAAAAAAAACATACAACCTAATATGGAATAGTGAAGACTTACAGAAAACAATGTGCACATTACAATATCATATTTTCTATTTACCAATGTTTAAAATAGTTAGGTGTGAGACACAATGCATTTATATGTTGCTAATTTGATCAATGTTGGGATAAATTGCTTATGGTTTTGAAGGGAATGTTGTAAATGGCAGGTATACACTCCTTCAATTCTATTTCAAGGCATGGAGTGTCAGTATCATCTCTTGCTATGGGATTTGTTCCTTACTTATTAAAGAGGTTGTATTAATGTAGAAGAAGAAGAAAAGAATCATGCTTTTGTGTGTTTCAATTGTGTTTATTCTTTACGTATTAAACTGAAAAAAGAGGAAAATGTGAAACCGTTTTCAGAATTATGAAGACCTTGTGAAAACAATGTACATGTTTCATATCTTTTATTTAATAATGTTTAAAACATTCATAAAATACATCATAAGGGACAAATATGAAAGCTTGGTAAATTACTGAAAGCAAATTGAATTCCCACAAGGAACCACTTTTAACAAATGCTTCATGCTTGAATTCCTTTCCTCGAGTTAAAGGGGTAGTTATGTGAGATTCTAACTTCTGACTCATCGTCAATTCCATTTCTTAAAGTGCAAGTCCAGTTTTCCTTTTTATGAAAATGAAGGTCCCTTCTTTCAATTCCGAAGATGCTCTCAAATTGTAGTTCATTATTATTTAACCCTATTAGCTAAGGCTTCTCAGTGTAACATGTATTCAGCCATCCGAAATACTTATGGAAGGGCAAGCACTGATTGTGTATGAAACTGAAAAAAAAAGAAAAAAAATGTGAAACTGTTTACAGAATAATCAAGACCTTGAGAAAACGATGTACACGTTACAATATCATTTATTTTCCATTGTTTAAAACATTCATAAAATGCATCATAAGTTATGTAATTTCATGATATAAGTTCATTACTACAAGTTCCACATTATAAGGGACAAATAGGAATGCCAGGTTGGTAAATTACTAAAAGCAATAAATTTCTATGAGGAACCTCTTTTAACAATCTTCACTGATTGCTTCTTATTTGGAAAAAAGGAAAAGAAATAACAAAAAAGCAAAAGACAAACAAGTGTAAATAAGAAGAGAAAAAAAAATAAAAAGAATCCTGCTTGGTTTCGTGAATTTGGAACACATAATATTCTCTTTCTTTGTTATAAATAAGATAGGAGTCTAGAGTCTAACATCTTTATTGGGGAAAAAAAGATATAATTATCATGGAGGTACTTAAAGTATATGAACACGAGCATCCACTAACGCTCGTTAATTTGCAAGTACATTATGAAGAAGAAGTAGAAGAAGAAGAAGAAGATGGTGATGATGATGATGAAGAAGAAGAAAAAGAAGAGGAGGGTGGTGATACGATTATAAAAGATGGGTTTCAAGGTGTCACATGTGGGTGGTGTGGTGAAGAAATCAGCATGTACCACAAGTGCTACTACAAATGTATGGCAGATTCATCGTGTGATTTTACACTTCACAAATTTTGTGCTGAGCTGTCAACAACTTTGGAGAGCACATATCACCCACATCCTCTTAACACAAAGGGATCTTCTTTCTGTGCGCCACTTGTACCAACTTCACCATACACAATGATTGTGCTTTCCTACCAGAAAAATTGTTAATCCAAGAGAAAACAGATGGTACTTTCATCATACTCATCCTCTCACCATTTCATATTCCTTCCCCTTTATAGATCAACGAGCTAAACATTATCCTAGATGCAGAGTATGTGGTGGGTATTTTAGTCAGAATCATTGGATTTACAAATGCGATAAATGTCTCTACTATGCCCATCTGGATTGCGCAACATCAAGAACAGAGCCATTCATGTCCATCTTCTTGTCTCCTGGTAATTAATGAATCCTTTCTTTTCATTATTATTCACTATTAAAAATTTCATGGATGAGTTCATTACGTTTAGCATTCTTTGAGATATACTAACTCTTTTTTCCATTTTAAATTTATCAGGCCTTGGCAGAACCAACAAAAATTATGAAGATGTTGACTATCCTCATCTTCTTCATCTCCCGTTCCCTGATGAAACATACAGCCTACCAAAACACTTGTTCTTCCAACAAAATGATCACAAGGTAAACTTAAAACACACGAGTCATCAACACCCTCTAGTTCTAGTGGATCAGACACTTACAAGCAATGGGCAAACCAACAATTCTTCTCGGTTGTTATTAAAGTGTCATGACCCAATGAAAAAGACCCAACTGCTATGCAATGGATGTCTCAGACCAATCATGTCCTCCATGGCTTTTTACATTTGTGCTAATGCTAATGCTAATGATGATGAGATTCAGATTCAGATTCAGGGGGTTTGCAATAACTTTGCTCTCCATGAGTGGTGCACTCGACACCCCCCAATAATAGAAAGCCACCCGGCCCACCCACAACATACCCTCCATCTCATTTACTCAAACATCCCTGGTTGCTTTTTCGGTGTGTTCCATTGTAAGGTTTGTCATCTACCTTGCAACGGATTTGCTTATTGTTGTGTCGAATGTGAATACTATGTTGATGTTACATGTGGGCTTATACCTAAACAAATCACACATGAAGCTCACCCCAATCACCTTCTTTCACTAGTTCAAGTAAAAGGAAATATGTTTAATTGTCATATCTGTCTCAGATACACTTATAAGCATGAATTTTCATTCCGTTGCGACATGTGCGATATTTATATACATCCCGATTGTGCTTTGTTATTAGCCGAGACAGTCAGGCACAAGTATGACAAGCATCCCATGCAACTAAGTGACCTCCCGATTGAGAACCACAAGAGTGAATACTTTTGTGAAATCTGTGAGCAGGAATTGAATCCTCATGAATCTTTCTATCATTGTAAAGATTGTGTTCAGTCCATACATACCGCTTGTGCTCCGTTAATACTTCAGTGCGAGACACATACCAGTGGATATTATAGGAATAGCATCCATTATTTCATCAAGGTAAAGTTCGGAGGCATTCATAACACTCATGGTCACCCACACCCTCTCTCATTTGCTCAAGGTATTTTGTCGGATGGAACATGCAAAAGGTGTTATTCCACATTGCAGCACAACATGATCTTTAAATGTCTTGAGTGTAAGTTTGCAATTCATTACAAATGTTGTGAGAAATACTAAGTTTAAAGTTTTAGGTTTCCCTTCCACATGTTTGAAACCAAATATGATTTGTAATTGTCATTACTCTTTCTTTCTTGTATTATATCTCTTTAATTTCATGTGTATGATGATACAATTACATAATTGAATTTCAAATGTCCATGCTATCTCTTGCAATACTTTTGTTCATTCTTAGTAATTCAAAGATCTAGTGTCCATTTGGTAGGCGGTAATGAAAGGAGGAATGACATGAGTGATTCCATTCCCATAACTATGAGATCGTTTAAAAAAATGGTTTGTGAATATCAAATGCATTTGAAATATGTACTGTAATTTGTTTATTTACCTTTGAAGGAATTTTGTTTATGATTTGTTGTAAGAAATATAAGTTACAAAGTAGTTTTTTTTCTTTTTAATTTTAATTTTCATCTATTCATAACAAATAACAACAACAAAAGATGATTTATTTTGTCAAACTTTTAAAATAACTAGGTTAAAATCCGTGGAAACCATGGTTAACAAAGAAAAAGATTAGTAATGAAAAATAAAAAATTTATAAAAATTATTAAATTACAAAGATAAAATTTTTGTCTATAAGTTTATAATGATTAGTTAAAATTATTATATACATTTTTCTAAATATTCGATCTATGTTTTGTAACACCGTAATTTTTCAAACAGATTTTTCATTTCAAAATCGCATACTTTTCATAACATATTGTATAGAAATCTCGTTTATTAAAAAAACAAACACAACTCCATTAATAATCCAGGATCCTCAAAATACAACTCTTTCTCTGGTGTGTACAATCAAGCCGGTGCCGTCCCGCGATCCTGGGAAAACCTGAAACACATAACACATAACACTGTAAGCACAAAGCTTAGTGAGTTCCCCAAAATACCACATATAACACATATTAGCCACTCGAGGCTATAACTCTGTGGGCCTACTGGCCCTAACTCTGTGGACCCTCTGGTCCTAACTCTGTGGACCTTCCGGTCCTAACTCTGTAAACTCTGGAATACACACAGCATCAATCACATAGAAATAATGCAGTGCAACACATCACATACATAGCATACAAGATACTCTGTCACATAACTCTAATTACCACTCAAGGTAAAGTATAGTGAGAAGACTCACCTGACCAGCAGCAAGTAAAGACCCCGCTCCCGAATCTCGAACTAGCCTCCACCTAACACAAGGGATGAATATCTCTAAGTGATACTCTAATCACAACTCTAATGACCGAAGGCTATTCTTCCTCTCTTTAACTCTTTGAAGTGGATAAAAGACCATTTTACCCCTCCATGGTCTCTACTACTTATGTTGATCCAAGCCCCAAAGTTAACAGAAGTCAAACTCGAGTCAACAGTCCATGTTTGACCCGACTCGCCGAGTGCACCCTTGCGACTCGTCGAGTCCACTTACTTTCCTCATAAATCTCGTGGCAGTCCAGCTCAGCTCGTCGAGTTGACCCCCAACTCGTCGAGCTATCGCCTGATTCAGTTCCTCGGGACAAACCCTAACAAACTCGTCGAGTCGGCTCATCGACTTGGCGAGTTCATTCAGACCAAATGTTCATTCAGACGATTTAAGGCAGATCCATCACCCCAAACACTAGATCTACCATCCTGAGGGTCGATTGTCACGTAAAGCTGCAAGCTTTATGTTTAAACATGGCATATAAAGCTCATAATGCCAATATAACTCTAACAAGGATGATTAACCACAATAACTCTTCCATGGTTAACTAAAGCTATAATCTTTGGACTCTCTGGACCTCACAAGGTCCAAATCTGAAGTCTAGGCCTCATGAGAGACCTTATGCACACAAGGTCCCAACAATGGTGGAAGAAACCCTAATCTTCCATATCTACAAGATCTAAGCAAAATAACAAGAAAGGTGCAAGCTTTTACCTCTTACTCAAGCCCTTGCACGAAGTTACACCAGATCCACTGATTTTCTAGCTCCCTTGATGGGTGATCTCCTCTTTTCCTCAAAAGATGCACTAGTTTACTCCAAGATAGCTTCTCTCTCACTTTCTAGCTCAAATGACCTTTAGGGTTTGCTTCCAGGGAAAAGGGTGGCCGCAAATGAGGCTATAAGTGCCTTTAAATAGGTCCCAAACCCCGGAAATTAGGGTTTCTCTAATCAGCGCCTACTCGGCGAGTCCCTCTCCTCGGACTCGTCGAGTCCACTCATTAAATCCACGGGAGAAACCTGACTCGACTCGGCGAGTTGGACCCTCAACTCGTCGAGTCTCTCCTTTAATCACAAGATTAACCTACACCATAATACCTCTGAAAATCCGGATGTTACAATTCTCCCCCACTTGAATTAGATTTCGCCCTCGAAATCACTCCTTAACCACTCACATAATGAAATCATCAACCCAAAAGGCACCACCGAAAGGATCTCATACTACCCCGATATCTTTCTCTATGGGCACCTGAAACCACACAAAACTCCCCAGACCAGAACTGAACCAACTCTTCCGTCGCTAATATACTCTTCCCCACTATCCGGAAACTCTTGTGGCCTGACCTGCCGCCAGATCGCCTACTCAAGCGATCACCATGATATTCGCTCCTCGAATATCAAACCCTGATAACTCACTGATCCTCTGATTCTCTAGTGGGAACCGATAAAACAAGTCCATGCCCAAAACTGGCTACCGATCACTCGTCCCAGACATGATAAACAATCCAGATCATATACCAAGGAATGGAAGGATCACATCACACCAGGGACTCATCCACTGTACTGCAATCACAACCCCTCTGAACAACGAACCCTCAACACCCTGTCCTCAGACATGAACAATGACTATGCTTGTTCAGAAGCGTCCTCCGACATCTGACAAGCATAAACCTTAGCTCCTTTCTCAATATCCCCTTCAAGACTGAGCGCCAGGTCATCTCCCGACCCAACAATTGAACCTCCAAAGGTTACCCATTGCATGTACCAACACGCTTCACTGACTTCCTTATCAATGCAACTATCTCGGCTCTGTGTGACACACGAGGCACGAAGTTCGCTTCACCTCAAGCGAGTACGAAATTCGACTCGCTCTCGACCTCTGCCGTCTACTACTCATTAGTTCCATGTGTTTCGCGGTTTTCTCATACCAACGATTTGACCCACTCCGGTTTAAGACACCAGATGGAACAATACCCCTTCCAAATGATGTGCATCTCTGAATCTGGAATTTCATTCCGTCTACTAAATACACCACTAGAATCGAACTTAACTCAAGAGTCTGATCCGACACAGAATTGGAACCACTCGTCCCAACGAACCACTCAACTCATGACTCCTGACCCGCAACTCATGCGTAAACCGCTTCTCCAATTCCCTTGGGTTGCGACAACCACAACTCAATTCAGAGTATAACGTTTCCCGACAAACATAGAGACCTCCGTCTCTTTCCTGATCTGGCCCTCAGGCTCCCGAATACTCAACCCAAATAAGGCTACTCAAGCCTAAGAACTCTCCTGCGTCGTGCTCTGATCAACAAATAACGCGGCTCCCTGCCGCACCGTGACGCCCTCTTACTAACTAGTGGGTACTACGGCTCCCCGCAGTATCACAATGACCTCTTCACTGAATAGTGAGTACTACGGCTCCCCGTAGCATCACCACACCTCTCACTGAATAGTGAGTACTACGGCTCCCCGTAGCATCACCACAACCTCTCGCTGAATAGTGAGTACTACGGCTCCCCGTAGCATCACCACAACCTCTCACTGAATAGTGAGTACTACGGCTCCCCGTAGCATCATCACACCTCTTTGCACTGACTCATTGAAACTGCGATCATTAACTCATGATCTGCGGCCCATCATAGATAGGTACACACACACCTATCCGGGCTAAGCATCACTACTTCGGACGACCACCGTCGTGACAAAACCTCTTTTTCTCGCTGCAATTCATATTCTCAAATAAATCCATTTGATGTCAATTAGCTGAAGGGCCCCCACCGGAACCATAGACACTTGATACACCACTCGACATCTCAAACTCAAACTCAAAACAATTCGAGATTTTAGGACATTAAACTCGGATACTCCGGAATACCATCACAACGCCTCGCAACGTCTTGACTCTACCACTGATCCCATACTCATGGCATCATACTCAAATACCGCATTGCTTCCTTGGAACTTCACAACCGGTCTTTCTCTCGTGCCACTTGTAACCCTGGAATACTCCATCCCCCAATTTAAAACACGGAGAAATTGCCAACGACTCAGAA